TCAACTCATCTCTCACTGGAAATGAGAGCGCAATTGCTAAACGTAAAAAACTTTTGAACTTAGGCAACTGTCAAATTTCAGGAGGTCTGACATTTAGCAATTGGAAAAAGAGGGACGACCAGATTTAAATCCTACAGAAAAATATGTGAACAGAGAGATTTATTGCTGCTGTTGAGAATCACTAACAAAAATTATAAAACAATAAAAATGAAAGAAAACGCGAAATTGAAATGTATGTGATGAAGTCTGTTGTAATGCCATGCTTAATAGTATTAATTTTCAATTGAAAATTATAAAAAACATTTATTAACTGAGAGCTAATACATTTATTTTTTTGATTAAGTATTGAAAGTTCAAAAATCAAGTATTTTAATATACATGTATAATAATATTTAATCTTAATAATTGTTGGGTATTTTAAATCAAATTCCCAAAAACTATTATTTTGTCTGATCTGGCTACAATGGAAAATGCTAATTTTGAGGCCCTCTCACACGGGAAAGAGTTGAGCATCCTATTATTCCTGATGTCTTCCGGGTCTTCTGACCACCCTGTGAGCAAAATGTGCGTGGAAAGTATGCGCATGTATGTATGTATGAAATAATTTAATTTTGATATGTCCTTTAATATTGAGTGGGAATTAGATTTATTCTTTGTGGAAAATTTAAGTAGATATGTAATTTTTTTGATATATCAGTTGTTAGTGGTTCATAATTAAAAATACAATTATTTATATTTTTCATAAAAAAATTTTTTTTTGCAATACGATAGGAGTCCGTTGTTCTTATTGTGATTTATTTTTCGCATTGACTTTGTGAGTGCTGCGTTTTTGACTTCTGACTTGGTAACAATGCACTTAATTTGGCATTTTCATTTATAATAATTCACATTTGTGTGTTCTCGCAAACATTAGAAAACAGCTGAATTTCTATGCGCTGTGTGAAGTATAGCTGCTGCTATGTTTCACATGGAATGCTTGTCTATGCAGTACTGTGCTGTGTATGCATAACTGAGCCGTAACGCTCAGTGATTAGGGTGTATGACGCATCCACTAGTGAGCAAAGTGAAAGAAAGAGAGAGAGAGCTATGCAGCAAGTGTTAAATGCTTATGCTGGAAACAGTCATCGACAATCCGCCCTTCCGTACTTGTCAAAAGTTATGCCCGTAATTGCAACGTAGAAATCAGTGGTTCCCTTTTGTTCTCATTTCACCAATGTTGCCATTGTTCAATTTGTGTAGACGATTTCGCACACATTTAGTTTTTTAGTTATAATTTTTCATAATGCAAAACTCAAAACTAAAATCCAACTATTAAAAATAGTTTACCTTTTTATAAATAAATATATTCGATTATGATATTAAGTTAGTTTGAAAATGTTTCAAATATGTTCAAATAAATCAGCTGACACGTTTCTTCGGGAAAATTCCAATTTTCGCTCATTTAAATTGCGCTCTCATAAGATAGGTCGTATCAACTGATTCGGTCTACGATTTTGTGTCGGCAAATGTCATCTTGAAGCCAGGTTCTTCAACATTTTGAAAACGGCAGCGACATATCAAACAGCTAATGTACACAATTTCGTTATTGATGTACTTCACGTTAATGAAATTTAAATATTTTGTTCAAAGTGAAATTTTTTGTGCAAAAAATAAGTAGATATGTAGGCCGATTAATTTGTTTTAAACTATTAATTGTATTTTTATGCTTCTGTTGGTAAAATACCATTCTATTTGCTAGAGCTTTGAATAATTTTACATTTCACATATTAGCACCAACACTACAGCTGCCCGTTGTCGTCGGCAAACACTGCTTGCAAAATCACACTGTTAACTACAAGGACTGGCAATAAAGATTCAATTATTCGATTAATAATATCCTAGAACATAAGTCGATACGCGCTCGAATACCAAGCAACCAGTATACAACAACAACTTTAGATATGCAGAAATCGCAATAGAACAACAAAGCACTGCTGCATTCAGCCACAAAAACTTAAAAACAAAACTAGAAACGCTGATTTCTAATCCAATTGAGCTGACCTTAACGTGATGGCTTCTATTGTTTCGAGAATAAGTTAAGATAGCAATTTGGAACTCCAAGCATTTCATTGTAACTAAAAACATACAATACAAGTATATATTAATGATTTCCGAAGATCACTTGTTAGTAAGTATTTTTTTAAATAATTGGTTAAGATCGTATTATTTGCAAAAACTATAGCACATGCTGGATCTGCGATTATTATAAAGTCGAATTTAAAATGTAATATATTATAACCAATATTGTTGTCTTCGGACAAGCTGTGTCCATTGACATCACCAGCGTTAATGGTGGGATTGTTATAATTGCACTGTATTTACTACCGCGTTTCAACACAAGTAAACAGTTATTTCTTACATTTTTCAAGTAGATTTCTGGCTCCGGGTAATTTCAATGCTAAATATCCATGGTGGGGATCTTGTCTTACAAATCACTAGGCCGGATTTCTATAAATTTTCATATATTTTGTGAAAAGTCATAAGAACATTAAAATTAAAAAAGTATGCGAATTAAGAATTTTGTGTTAAGAGAATTTATTTGCATATTTTATCTAAGAAAATATATCTTTAGTATACTTGGTTAGTTTTAATAAAATTGTATTTAGCCTTAGTTATAAAAACTACTTTTTGTGGGTATCAACCGAGACGTACGAGGCCGCATTGTGCAAACATTATTGTGGCAATTTACATCTAGCCATGTCACCGATGTAACTCCATATATGGTAAAATCAGGAGAGGCACTGAAGGTATTTTACCCAAATTGACTGCACGTTATTTGTTTGGCCCACGTAATACACCGAGTTGCCGAATATGTGAGAACTTGCTTCAGTGATGTTCGATTCGATTTAATTTCGAATAAAAACAAAATATTTATAAAATTAGGTTTGGGAGTTAAAACTTTCAAGAACATGTATCCTATTATCGCGCTTCCACCACAGTCAATATTAACAAGATCGGGAACATGGTTAGAAGCCCGAAAATATTTTTGTGTATATTCTGCAGAATTTCAAGCATTCCTTAAATCTTTGCATAAAATATTTTTGCGGCCAACCTCACCCTAGAGCTTTAACTTCGAAAATTTTAAAGACAAATTAATTTTATTTGCTAACGAAGCCTTGAGTTTAAAATTGTGTTATATGGGAACTGACCGTGGTTGCAGTCCGATTTCGCCCATTTTCGCACTGCAACATAATAATGTCATAATAATACCCACCGAGTTTGGTTGAAATCTGTACAGCAGATCCCGTGATATGGGTTTTCCCCTAAATGTTAGGGGTGCCATGCCCATCCTTCAATTTTGAAAGCGTCTCCAATTAAGCTTTCTTAAACCATCCTTGGTGTAAAATTTAATGTCTTTGGTGCATTTACTTACTGATTTATCGCGCTTTTAGTAATTTTTAACCCGTTTTGTGTGGAGAGGGGTTATAACCCGTTCCCATGTTCATACTGGCGGTAGGGATTCTTAAAGGATTTGTCGTAAGCGAATTTAAATATTGTAGTTTAAGTAGTTTAGGAGATACGAAGAATAAACCTTTTATAGGGCGGGACCACGCACATTTTTTCTAAATTTGTGGCCCACCGGTACCCCTTACTACTGCAGTCCCCTGTGCCAAGTTACAGTTTTGTATCTTAATTTGCGGCTTAGTTATAGCATTTTATGGGTTTTTGATTAATGTCACTTGTCAGGGCACATGTATACCAAGTTTCATTAGGATGTCTCAATTTTTACAAAAGTTACAGCTTGCACGGACAGACGAATGGATAAACAGACAGTCACTCGGGTTTCCACTCGTATCTTCATCCTGATCATATACACACATATACTTAACCCTGTATCTAACTCGATTATTTTCAAGTTATACAAACAACAGATGTTGCCTATTTCCCATATAACACAACTTTAAATTAAATCTGATTTTTTCTCTTTCCAGTATACAAATTAAGCAATAATTAATATATTGGGATACAAATTTTAACGAATATTTCCTTTTTTTTGAGGTCTAAAAATTGTCAAACTCGTCAAGAATAACTATTCAAGCCCCCAGATATCGGCAATGTGGACCTCAAAGCCTATGGCTGACTTTTTGGCGGAAATATCCGTCAATCTGTGAGATATATAAGTATAATATAATTTAAATCCGAGGAAAATGTTTTTAAGCAATTGCATAGCTTCTATCGCGGGCTTTGAGCATGGAGAAATTCCGTTACGGAAATAAACCTAAGACGATCACAAAGTATGCGCAAAATGTTTGCGGACTTTTAGGGGTATTTTCACATATAATATCTCAAGCGGAAAAAATCAATTGAAGAGCAGGGTGATTCAAAAATATTTAATAATAAAAATTAATTTATTCAATATTCGGAGTCATAATATTAGTAATATTATTATTATTTTGGTAAATAGCTGGGGGGGGGGCCCCCTTTTGGAACAGTATCACGTTTGACTTAAACAATACAATTGAAATTAGATATTTCAATCGGATTATCAATGGTAATAAATTTCCACTTATCTTGGCTGGCAAGCCAACAACATCTTCTTTTCATTTTCTTCTTCAACTTTTCTTTCGGAGAAATTGAATTTGAAAACGAATATTGATCCACAAGAATCCACATCAAAATATGGGACCACCATTGACGCGGTATTTTTCAGATATCTAGAGGATATCAAGTCTCAAACTTATGATACTTATTTCAGTTACCATAAACCTATAGTTTCAATGATAAAAATAATAACCTACATGTATTGTAAGATAATATAAATATTTCAAACAATATTAACTCCTCATTTATTCAATAAAAGAAAAAAAATTAAATTATCATCAAAGAAAAAAGTTTAATTAATATCAAAGAAAAAAAAATACTGCATAAAAAATAAATAAATAATTATAATAGCATATGTTGATATCAAATGTTATGCAATAGCTTTACCGCGGCAGTCCCCGAGTACCACACGTCTTTTTTTGTTTCCTTATTCTAATATATCCTTAAAATGAGGGAATAAATCAGAAAAATCATAAAGTCTGAGCAGTCATTGAAGTGTTTCGATTTCTATCCTACTTTGACAAAGTGTTGGTCATAAGCAATGGAACATATGGGCCATGTTCATGTGGACCAAACATTACAAGACAAATTCATTACAGTGTCACCAGTTTAATTTCAACTTATATTTGGTATGCATCAATTTCAGTTTAATTTTATTAAAAATACCTTCAGTTTCAATAAGATCGTTGCCATCAAAATATATGTAATAATTTTATGGCTAATTAAGGGCCAAAAAATCTAAAATACCAATATTTTAAATTGAATGTTAAAAATGTACAGTTACACCCAAGAGATTTTCATCGTCAGAAGAGCCGCCTAGTGATGCATATTGAACCTGTAAAAAAATTTGTTTGTAATTATTATTTAAAAGTTATCTGTTCAAATGTTACATGTTTTTAGTATAGCCGCTTTTTAACTTTGTGCTGGTAATTTTTCTCTTATTTTCATAATTTTAAAGTTTTTAATGAATGTTTTATATAGTATACTTGTTGCATGTGGTATTATATTAATTTTTTTCTGGTTCCAAATATTTTTAATTTCTTGGATGAGGCGGTATATTTTTCTATTCTTTCTACGTATTTGCTGCGTATATTATTATCAATAGGTACGCTTATTTCAATTAGTTGTGTATTTTATATTCTCTTGCACCAGGTTGCTACAGATTATAACAGTTTTGTTCCCCTAACGGTTGTTTGTATCACCTAAAACTAATCGAGTTAGATATAGGGTTATGTATATATAAAAAATCAGGATGAAGAGACGAGTTGAAATCCGGGTGACTGTCTGTCCTTCCGTCCGTCTGTGCAAGCTGTAGGTAGGTAGGTAGGTAGGTAAAGTGGCTGTCACTCGACACACTTAGGCCTTTAGGAGGCCCATTGTGATACCACTGGGACTGTGATCCCCTCACTCTATTGGCTCCTCTCTGAACCACCCCGTACTTATGATGCACTTTATCAGTGAGACAAGTTTTATCTGTGCAACCTCCGAGACGTCATCAAGAAACCCACGACCGATGGTTGCGATTCTTGTCCTATATAGTGCTGCGCAATCGCAATTGATGTTTAAAAGATGTTTAATGGTCTCCTCCTCTTCTACTTCCTGACAGCTTCTACAATTGTCGTTATATGGCGTGCCAAGTCTACTTGCATGTCTGCCTATTAGACAGTGGCCTGTTAGTACTCCTACGAGAGTTCTTATATCATTCTTTTTGAATTTTAACAGTCGGCATGTGCGGCTCATATTCAATTCTTGCCACGTTTGCCTGCTAGTTGAGCAGGTCAGGGATTGATTCCACTGACACTAGGCTATATTAATGACATGTTTGTCGATTAGGTATCTACAAGTAGCCAGAGGCATATTTATGTCCTTCTTTCCAGGATCTAGTTGTAAGGTGGTGCCTGTTCTGTCTACTTCATCTGCTACGCAGTTCCCAGGGATGTCACTGTGTCCTGGGACCCATTGCAGATTTACCGTGAAATAGGATGACAGATCCGCTAGAAGATCATGGCAATCTTTCACTGTCTTCGACGAAATCCTATGAGACATCAGAGATTTCAAAGCCGCCTGGCTGTCTGTATATATAAAAACACTTCTTGTTGTTATTACACTTTTTGTTAGTACAAGAAGGCTTTCTTTAACTGCAGTGACCTCTTCTTGGAAGACACTGCCATCCTGCCAGTGGTCTGGTAACCGGAAGGCGATTTTGGTATCTAGTTTGGCCGAGAAGACACCGCCGCCTACTCGGTTATCCAGTTTGGAACCATCCGTATAGAAGCTTATCCCTGCTTCCTTGTCCACTACGTCACTTTCCCACTCCTCTCTGGAGGAGAAGGCAATATTGTGGACCGGATTTAGGTTCAGCTCCATAGGATTGCGAAAATCCGTAGTTATGGGAAAAAACGGGAACTTTCTAAGTATCATAGAATGCCCCTTGTTGCTGGCGACTAGTAAGGAGGATTCCCTCAGTCTCAGAGCTGACTTCGCTGCCATTTGCTTGCAATACAGATCTGTTGGCAGCAAGTGTAAAATTATGTTGAGTGCCTGGCTTGGCGTAGTTCTGAGAGCTCCACTGATGAAAATACTAGCTGCTCTTTGTATACTTTCCATGCTTCTAATCGCATATTTCTTTTCTGTAATGGGCCACCATACTGCTATACCGTAGGTCATGATCGGCCTTACAATTGCTGTGTAAAGCGCTGTAGCTGCTTTCTTTACCCTCGCTTCCAAGTTTTGTTTTCAAGAAAGCTTCCTGTCTAAAATTAGTCCCAAGTAGCTTGCTTTATCTCCTACCGTTAGCCTGGTGTCATTTAAAAATGGCGGCGTGATTTCTGGAGTACTGTGTTTCTTAGTGAACAATACTAGTTCTGTCTTGCTAGCATTTAAATTCAGTCCGCATGATACGGCCCATCGATTAATATCGTTTAATATTGTCTGCATAAGGCTAGCGAGGGTGTTCGGGAACTTGCGCCTAACCGAGACTGCCACTTCATCAGCGTAGGCCACAACATGTACCCCCTTCTTTTCTAGATCCACAAGCATTTTATTCATTGTCAGGATCCAGAGAAGTGGGGATAACACGCCTCCTTGGGGTGTACCCCTTCGGATAGATCTGTACCTCGTTGCAGCTCCCAGCGTTGAAATAATTAACCTGCCCAAGAGCATCTGTTCAATTAACTTCCGGAGAGGCTCAGATATGCCCAGATCTTTAAGCGCGCTCAATATGGCCTTCGGCTGGATGTTGTTGAAGGCCCCTTCTATGTCTAGGAAGGCTACGAGGGTGTATTCTTTTATTTCCAGAGACTTTTCAATCTCTGCTACCACTGAGCTTAATGCCGTTTCTGTGGATCTACCCTTGGAGTACGCATGCTGCGAAACTGCCATTTTTCTTGGGTTTAGTATGTCCTTTATATGTATTTCTATTAGTCTCTCCAGCGTTTTTAATAAAAATGATGAAAGGCTAATTGGTCTAAAATCCTTTAAATTAATGTGTGAGCTTTTGCCAGCCTTTGGTATATATATCACTTTAACTTCCCTCCATATCGAGGGAATATAGTTTAATTTCAGTTCCCCTCTAAACATGGTTGTTAACCAGTTTATTGTGTAGCTCAGGGACTGCTGTAACTGAGCCGGGAATAAACCGTCTGGTCCCGGCGTTTTATAAGGCTTGAAGCTGCCTATTGCCCAATAAACATTGCCATCTAACACTATGTCTAGCGGAGGGGACTCTGAGCCTACTTCACTCTCCATTATATGCTCCCTTATGAGGTTCTCGGAGCTGTCTGGGAAGTGAGTATCCATTAGTAGGCCCAAAGTCTCTTTACTGGATACCGTCCAGCTGGGATCTGGCTTCTGAAGGTATTCGATGCTATGTTTCGACTGTGTCATTATCTTTCTCAGTCGAGACATTTCTGCCGTATTTTCGATGTCATTACAAAAAGATTTCCACGAATTTCTTTTTGCTTTTCTTACCTCCTTTTTGTATGTCCGAAGGTGGTTATGATAGTTATCCCACTCTGTATCTTCCTGGGATAATTTGGCAAAATTGAATTGCTTCCTGCAATTTTTCTGCATGTTCTTAAGTATTGGAGACCACCAAAGAGGTCTAATTCTTCCCCTACTGTACGTTAATGGACAAGCTACCTCTAGTGCTTGACGACAAGAATCTGTGTATCGTTTAACGAGGATGTCTAGGTCCTCTTTCTTTTGCGGTTGAAATGGTGGAATCATAGGAATACGCTTTTTTAGCTCCAGCATGTGCATCTGCCAGTTCGTTTTCCTATGATTCCTAAATTTCTCTTCCCTAACTACATTTTCTTTAATTATACACTCAATGTAGCCGTGATCTGAGAAGGAGTGTTCCTCCAATAGCCTCCAATGTGTTATTTTATCCACCAGTTCTTCCGATACCAGTGTTATATCTAATACTTCCTGTCCTAACAAAAGCTTACTTCCTATTAGATAATAAAAGAGCAACTCACCCCTTTCGTTAATGTCCTTGCTTCCCCATAGAGTATGCTGCGCATTGGAGTCGCACCCAAGTATAATCGAACACTTGGATGCTTCGGCGTCTCGTACCAGCTCTTTGAACAGCTGCGATGGTACTGCTACCTCGTCCTACGGCATGTAGCATGATGCTAGCCGGTATTTTTTCTTGCCCGTCTCCCAGCTTACCACCGTAGTGTCGTTACTACTGTAACTGTGTAATAAAAAGACATTAAGCTTTTTGCTAGCCAATATACATGTCCTAGGCTTACCTACACAACCATTCGCGTATAGATTATATCCTGGTGTCCTTAGACCGCAAATACGCACTCCGTTAACCCATGGCTCCTGAAAGAGGACAAAGTCAGGCCGTTCTTCTGCCATGCGGTTAACTAGGGCTAGAGACGCTAGTTTGCTGTGGTGTAGATTAATTTGGCGAAGACGCGTTAGTTATTGACTTCTCTGCATCATCATGAGAGTCGCTTAAAAGCTCACTCTCAGTGTAAAGTTTAGAGAGTCTGTCCACAAGCTCAGACCCCGAAGTACACTCACCTTGATCTGTAATCTCTGCGTCGCTCGAGGACTATACTCGATCTTCCTCGACTTCGTACTCCGATTCCGATGCCAAGTTTTCTCCTGCATCGGCGTCTGACTTGTAGGTCATGACCTTTACTTTTGTGAATCCGTAGTTGATTTCTCCGCCACTTTTCGCTAGCGGTTCTACGGATTCTTTTGTTAGAAGCAGCAGAATCTGCATTGTGGCTCATTTCGTCTCCACACCAGATTCCGCTGCGGGGTCGTCAAAGGCCTTGACGAGTCTCCATCCCCCAGTTGGCAGATTCGGGTTGCAGGCTCTTATGAGCTGCATTATTTGGTCCGGCTGCGATGGTGTAGCCGGGATCCATACCCTTGCCCTCGGTCGGCGCGTCGCCTCTCTGCATACTTTGCTTTTGCAGGGTCGTCAATCCTAAAGGAAGGCCACTCTCTGGCTGACCCACTGCTGGTAACATCGCTTTTGGCATCTACCTCCTTCTCCTGCTTAGCTGCCAAGCCTTGGTTACAGGGGTTGGTATGGGCTGCCTCCAACGCTGCTGCTTTCATGGCGCCAGTCTTGGCTTCTGCCCCCTTAGCATTTGCCTTTGCTCCAGGACCAAGCTTCTCCTCCTTCCTGTCCTCGCTTTGGCTGTCGAGCTCGTGCCAAACGTTGCTCTTCTCTGGGAACAACTCGTTCCATCCGGTCTTTTTGAAGAAGGTCCGGACTCCTTTTTGTTTTTGTTGTTTGTGATTTTGTAATTTTGGCTCATAATTTTGGACCCACGAGTGTAGGGGAAAGTATGTCCCCCGCTACGCAAGTAAGGCTATCTTATTACGGAGGACGCCAGGTATCCGTAAGCTCCGTGCGAGACTGGGCTATTTAAGGGCCCCCAGTCAGGTTGATCTTCGGCACGGGTCGCATGACACCTTGATCCAGCCCTTTATATACCTCCTACCATGGTAAGACCTCCTATCTAGATGCTACACTATTGAAGAGTACCGAACACCCAGATAGGAAGCCTGACCTTAGCTAGAATCACATTGGGGAGGGGCATCTGCAGTTAAAATTTTTTTTTTTGACTGGGCGGGGTCCCTAATAAGTTTAATGTACATATCTCCTATACCACTGATAATAACAAAATTTACTAGGCACAAATGTTTTAAGCATCTCTATGAGTGAAAATGGGTGAAATCGGGTGACAACCCCGCCCACTCCCCATATAACGGTACTGTTAAAAACTTCTAAAAGCACGATAAATCAAGCACTAAACAAGCCAGAGCCATTAAATTTTATCTCTGGGATGGTATAAGATGACTTTATAGGAACCACATTCAAAATTAGATAGTGGGCGTGGCACCGCCCACTCTTATGTGAAAACCAATATCTTGGGATCTGCTTAACCGATTTCAACCAAATTCGGTAAATAATATTCTTGTCATATTTTTATGTTATAGTACAAAAATGGACTAAATCGTTGTTATCCGACGCCTATTTCCCATATAACATCATTTTAAAATCCGTCTGATTTTTTCACTTTCCAGTATGCAAATCAAGCAACAATGATTATATCGGCGTGAAACTTTGCGTGAATAATACGTTTATAGTATGCCACTTTGTGACCAAAAATTATCTAAATTGAACGAAAACTGTTCAAGCCCCTAGGTACTGAATTTATGGACCCCGGTGCCTATAGTTGACTTTTTACCGAAAATATCGGTCAACATAGAACAAGGCGACAAAATCCACAAAGCAATCTAAAACGAGTATACCATTCGACTTTGCGAGAGTATGGTATGTTCGGTTACATCCGAACTTAGCCCTTCCATACTTGTTTTTATTTTGTCTTTCTAGCATCCTAGTTTGCGCTAATAAAAGTTTGCACGGTAAATTATCATGAGAGACCTTATTATAAAGGACTTCGAATGGTTTCTTATCAGTTACCGAATGTATAGTTTTATTGTATTGGTGAGGGGCTCTATTTATTGATTCCGAAAAGCTGATTAAATTATATTCTTGTTTTATACATCGTGATATTTCAATATTGTTGAATGTACCTTCTCTATCTGACTTGTGATTTCATCTGATTTGTGGTGCTATGATTTGGGTTGCAGAAATAAATTTCAATCTGAAGTCTCTGCATCAGCGATTTAAATTGTACCGTAGTAAATCCTAGTTCGTTATCAATTGTTATTCTCTTTACATTAGGAAACCCTTGTTATATCTCTAACACTTTATCTTCTAAATTAATCTTATCTTCAATTTGTTTAATAACCAAAAACTTTGAATAACTATCTGAATATTTGTTTCATTTGCGCACTCACCTTTTTGCACTTTGGCACTTTAGCACTTGCAATCATCAATAGAGTAACACACGGATACGACCGATATAATAAATTTTTAATCTATTTATTTTCAAGAAGATATAAAACAAAGGTTTCCAATAAAATAATCCAATTATCGTGCGAGAAATTGCGGACGTCTCGATGGCTCGAATTGCGAACGAAAAAAGAAACCTTCTAGTCCTGTGTTAGTCCCTTTGAGTGTTGGGTTGTGTAGAGTTGTGGTGTGTTGTGATGTGTATGTGTAGGTGATCTGCGTGGTGTGATGTCTGCAGGGGTGTGTTGGTGTTGTTGATGTGGTGTATTGGCGCTTAGTGGTGTGTATGGAGGTGAGGCGTAACTCATCTAGCCAGGTGGGCCGGGACCCTAGGCGAATTCTAGCCTCACAATCGCTGGAGTTACTACAGCGTGGCAACAACGCTGCTGAGGCCAGTAGAGCGGCGGTATGATGGCCTGGGCTGCCGACGCCGCGTTGATGCCTCATGTCACCTTGGTCTGTGTGGAGGAGGAGCTGCTGGTCTTCGGAATCGATCCGGACGGCTGCTCTGCTGCGATCTGCTTGCGGAATGGCGGCTTGGGGCGAGTTGCCGCTCGACGGCCCACTTTGGGGTGCGGTGCAGCATGGTGTTGTGCGGTCTATTGCACAGTTGGCATAGCGTCACGGACGTACACTCCGGTACATGGGTTGCATGCCTCGGAAAATGCTGCAGTGTTGTAGCCGGTGTGTGCGTCGACACAGCGGGCATCGGCTGCGTTGAACTTCCGTTGCTAGTGCTGAAGAGGGTGCTAGTAGTCGCGTACCACTACGAGGAGCGATTGCCGCAGTTGTTCGTGGCGCTACAGTTGCCTCAGGGTGCGGCACGTTAATGGCGGACCTCACAGCAACTTAATTTCATGAGCGGTCTTGTTAGCGTTCCGCTTTGAGTTCGGAGATCAACTACTCGTATATGACCGTCGAAACCGTAATGTAGTTGTTCTATGCGGCCAAGCCGCGATTCTGTGGGCGGTAGACAATCATTGTGTATGATGATACAGTGTTTAAGCTTTGGCGCCTTTCCTGGAATTTTCTATCGGTACCTTTATGAAGGTCCTTGATGTACTCTTCCTTCCATCGGCGGCTGAAATCATGATGGAGAATTTTGATTCTTTCGTATAGGACCTTCGAAACGTAGTTTTTCTAGGAAGCCAAGCCGCCATTCTTTGGGGGGTAGACAATCATCGCGTATGAGGACACAGTCTTCAAGCGTTGGTGCCTTTTCTGGAATTTTCATCGGAACCTTTTATGAAGGTCCTTGATATACTTTTCCTTCCATCGGCGGCTGAAATCATGATGGAGAATTTTGATTCTTTCCCATCGATTTAATAATTATAGCGACTCCACGCCTGGCTCAGGTATGGCCAGAATGGAGGCTCTTTTGAGAAAGTGCCTTGGAGTTAGGGCTGTAAGGTCAAAGGGATCTTGCGAGAGTGTTGTGAGTGGCCGTGGATTGAGAACGGCTTCGATTCGGATTAATAAGGTAGTGAATTCTTTATAATTGAATTTATAATTTCCAGCTAGTTTTTTGGAGTGGGATTTGAAGCGTTTTACAGCTGATTCCCATAAACCACCCATATGAGGAGCGTCTGGGGGGATAAACTGCCAACTAATGCCTTGGGGAGCATACTCCTGAACAATTTCAGGTGATACATGTTTAATAAAATCCGCAAACTGTTTTTCAGTGGCTCTTTCGGCGCCAATGAAGGTTTTACCGTTATCGCTCATTATCGCTTTGAATAAGCCGCGTCGAAGCGACGAAGCGAGCAAATGCCGCGAGAAAGCCTCTTTAGTCAGATTCGTACATAGCTCGAGGTGCACTGCTTTTGTCTTAAAACAGACAAAGACAGCCACATAGCCTTTCATTATTGTGGGCGACCTTAGCATTGACGCCCTTATTTAAATAGGCCCACCAAAATTGACACCTGTAACTGTGCAAGGCAGAGCGAAGTTGCAGCGTTCCGGTGGAAGTGCTGCCATAATCTGCGTTCGCAATTACTGCTTATGCAGAGTGCAGATGTTGCACATGAAAATGCACTTTTTATTTGCTGTTCTGCGTGAAGCATAAGTAAGTGGATATAATTGAGGAGTAAAGTGGCAAGTCGAGATTTCTCTGGTATGATTAGAGGGTGGCGTTCGTTATACGTGAGGTTTGAATTGGTAAGCCGACCATTAACACGAAGCAGACCTTTCGTGTCTAGGAATGGGTTAGGAAGTAAGAGTGAACTCCTTTTGTCAATGGGTTTTGATTCTCTTAATTGTGTTATATCGCGGCTGAAGTAGCGGATTTGAGTTGATGCGATTAAAGCGACCTTTGCCTTTTGCAATTATAGGTGCGTCAATGTATCGCATTGGGGGTACTCTGAGGGATCTCCCTGAACTTTAATTTTAAGTCGCTCTATGAACTTTAACATATAGGCGATTACTCTGAGAGCTCGGGAGAACGATGAAAATAGCTCAAGGATGTCAGTATCCTCCACTGCTGTGTGAACGGAGTCGATTTTCCGACTTTCTGGGGCTATTATATTGCGCATGGGCGATTGTGACCAAGAATCGGGAGATTCTGTTAATCATCGGGGAACATTCCACCAGAGGGTGGTGGTGGTA